CGGACCTCCTGAATGCCACAGATCCAGGCGGTACCGATACAGCTCACGACAGAGGAGTGGCAGCCTCTCCTCCGCAGTGCGCGTTCGAACATTCCACGTGGCCACACGAAGTGGATTTTCGTTGTTTCTGGAGGAGCCCGGAGGGTAGAGATTCAATCTTCTGGCACCGCCAATTGGGGTTTGGCCAGGAGACGTCATAGACGCCTGGCACCCCAGGGCCTCCGGCACAAGCTTATTTGTTACATTTTTAATTCGTGGTTTCGTGGTAAATTTTTGAAGGTGGAGGGGTTACCAGCCCCTCGCACCCGTCTAGAGCCCCCGTTTAGCCCCTGTGGTGATCACAGACGCCATGAGGGGAGGGGCTAATCGGATTTGGCCCTCCCCCCACAGCACTGTCCACGATAGGGTTGCCCATCTGGCACCGCGAGGAGGTAAGGGGTTGTTTTGCCAGACACAGACACACACACAGACACACACACATACACACAGACACACACACAGACACACACCACGACGCTTGTGCCAGACCATGTGCACTTTGAGGCCACGTGAAGTGTCGAACGCCCGCTGGCAAGAGGTCACGGGGCAGACCCAGGTGCCACGGGTCGACTGACTGAGATGATTGGTTGATGCACCACCTGTGCCCCCTACTGTGCCAACCTGCTGTGCTTTAGCCACCCGGCGCTCTGCTCGTTGTTGTGAGCGTCGCTCCTCCGCCCTCCGTTGTTGTTGGAGGGCGACTGCCTCCAACTGCCCAGTAGCGTCCTTGACGAGCCTCCTCCACAGAGGCCGATCTTGACACCGCTGGTACCAGTCATCGGCAAGTCCACTCAGCTCCACGTCCTCCTGTACCACATCACTCCATCTCTTCTCTAGCCTGTGCCGCGCCCCTTTAGCCCCCTCGATCCGGCCGAACAAAAGCTGTTTCGGCATGCGGTGGCTGGGTATGCGGGCTACATGACCCAGCCAACACAGCCTTGCCTGCCGGAAGAGCTCACCGATGGGACCTTGCCCAGATCTTTCACACACACACAGACACACAGACAAAGATCCCCCATATAGCCTTAACAGACTGTAGGGGCAAGTGCTGTTAGCGAGCACCTATGAAGGCCAGAACGGTACACGAGGGGGTGGGTGACCAGCACCACGTCCGACCGCCTTTGTCTCCCTAGTGGCGATGTTTACACACCGCACCAGGTACTCATTTGAGGCTGAGTCGACCTAGGGGAGGCCCGGGACCGGTTCAGATAGTCGTCACTGGTGTTGGCCGTGCGCGGGAATCGAATCCGGGTCACCAGGTTCATAGCGGAGCGCGCTAACCGCTACACTACCGCTCCCCACACACAGACACACACACAGACACACAAATAGACACAAACACACACACAAACACACACAGACACACACACAGACACACACACACACAGACAACAATAACAACCGCCGTTCGCCACTAAGTGGCGGTGACGTCACCACGACGCTTGTGCCAGGCTATGTGCACCCTGAGGCCACGTGAAGTGTCGAACGCCCGCTGGCAGGAGGTCACAGGGCAGATCCAGGTGCCACGGGTCGACTGACTGAGATGACTGGCTGATGCACCACCTGTGCCCCCTACTGTGCCAAGCTGCTGTGCTTTAGCCACCCGGCGCTCCGCTCGTTGTTGTGAGCGTCGCTCCTCCGCCCTCCGTTGTTGTTGGAGGGCGACTACCTCCAACTGCCCAGTAGCATCCTTCACGAGCCTCCTCCACAGAGGCCGATCTTGACACCGCTGGTACCAGTCATCGGCAAGTCCACTCAGCTCCACGTCCTCCTGTACCACATCACTCCATCTCTTCTCTAGCCCGTGCCGCGCCCGCTTTACCCCCTCAATCCGGCCGAACAAAAGCTGTTTCGGCATGCGGTGGCTGGGCATGCGGCTACATGACCCAGCCATCGCAGCCTTGCCCGCCGGAGGAGCTCACCGATGGGACCTTGCCCAGATCTTTCAAGGATTTGTGAGCTCCTCACATAATCCAGTCTGGTTAAACCCAGGATGGATCGTAGGCAGGCCAGCCTAAATGTTTCTAACCAGCGAAGATGTTCCATTAGGGGGGTCCACGTTTCGCAAGCGTAGAGAAGGGAGGGAATGACCGTGGCCGAGAAGACCTGAAGCTTAGTGCTGAGCGACAGACCAGGTAGCTTCCACACAGCGTTATGCAACCGATGAAAAGATATTGCCGCTCGACTGATTCGGAGTGAGACCTCTGCTGTTAAACTGGAGCCAGTCATAAGCACACTGCCCAGGTATGGGAAACTCTCCACTCTCTCCACAACTGCCCCATCACCGATTGGGAGTTGTGCGGGTGGAGTATCCGATGGTACAAAATACCCAGGCAGGTGCTTAGTTTTGGTGGGGCTGATGGTAACGCCCCACCTCTTAGTGGCACGCTCCAGTCTCAGCAGCAGCGTCTCCAACTCCTCCTCTGACTGAGCAGCTATTACCAAATCATCAGCATACATAACGTGGTTGAGCAATAGGGAGCCATCCCTTGACCGCACCCGGGCATCGATCAGCCTCCCATTATATCTGTACCATATGGAGATTCCCCCGGTACAGCTATTGAAGACTTGACGAACTACGTGGTCAAAATTGATGCTAAATAATGTGGGAGCCAGAGGACATCCCTGTCGCACCCCAAGGTGTACAGGGAATGGCTCTGACTCCCGGCCACGTAGTTTTACCCGGGCCCGCTCACCATCATGAAGGTCCTTAATGAACGTGAGCATAGGGTCAGGTACTCCAAAAGCACGAAGAACGACCCAGAGCCCAGGCCTACTGATGGTATCATAGGCCTTGACCAGGTCAATAAAGCAGAGATGTAGGTCTTGTTGGAATTCCCTACACCTCTGCTGTAGCAGACGGTCAGAAAATATGGCATCTGTGCAGGACAGCCCTATCCTGAAATCGCACACAGACACACACACAGACACACACACAGACACACATACACACACACAGACACACACACAGACACACACACACACGCAGAGAGCGAGAGAGAGTTCGTGGACTTGTCGCTACTTCCCCTGCGTAACGAGCGCAGAGTGCGCCACGCGTCTTCACTGTCGCGGGTCCCCTCGTCCAGCGCGGTGCCTCCCAGCGAGCAGACGCAGACGCAGCCACCCGTGTGTGGACCTGGAGCGAACCGTCCGGCTCCGGACTGCGTGCTGGAGGCGGAGAAAGGTCGAGGCAAACGAAAAGGAACGCGTGGGTCGAGTGGGGATTTGACATCTAGAGATGGCCACGCGTGCGAGACGCGCATTTGACATCCGAGACGGGGCTGGGCACAGGCCCAGAACGTCCATCATTGTCAACGTCGTGATATGAGACGAGTTATGAAGGCGTTTTTGTTGTTGTTGTTGTTGTTCTCGAACGGAGCAAGGTTATTGTTGTCGTGAGCGCTTGGGAGGGAGGGGGTGAGACGTTGGGAGGGAATTCCACCGTGGAGCAGCGTAAGGGAAGAAGCAGAGAGAGTGAGAGAGTGAGTGTGGTGGGTGAGTCGGTGGGTGAGCGTGCGAGCGGGTGAGCGGGTGAGTGGGTGAGAGAGAGTGAGTGTGGTGGGTGAGTGGGTGAGTGAGCGAGCGGGTGAGCAGGTGAGTGGGTGAGAGAGAGTGAGTGTGGTGGGTGAGTGGGTGAGTGAGCGAGCGAGTGGGTGAGAGAGAGTTAGTGTGGTGGGTGAGTGGGTGAGTGAGCGAGCGAGTGGGTGAGCAGGTGAGTGGGTGAGAGAGAGAGTGAGTGTGGTGGGTGAGTCAGTGAGTGAGCGAGTGGGTGAGAGTTAGTGTGGTGGGTGAATCGGTGAGTGAGCGGGTGAGTGGGTGAGAGAGAGTGAGTGTGGTGGGCAGCTGGAGGCAGTCGTCCTCCAACAACAACGGAGGACGGAGAAGCGACGCTCATAACAACGAGCGGAGCGCCGGGTGGATAAAGCACAGCAGGTTGGCACAGTAGGGGGCACAGGTGGTGCATCAGCCAGTCATCTCAGTCAGTCGACCCGTGGCACTTGGGTCTGCCCCGTGACCTCCTGCCCGCGGGCGTTCGACACTTCACGTGGCCTCAAGGTGCACATAGCCTGGCACAAGCGTCGTGGTGACGTCACCGCAACTTAGTGGCGAATGGCGGTTGTTGTTGTTGTTGTGTGGTGGGTGAGTGGGTGAGTGAGTGAGCGAGTGGGTGAGAGAGAGTTAGTGTGTGCTGCGTTGACCTGCAGTGTGGTGAGTGAGTCCGTGGGTGAGCGAGCGGGTGAGTGGGTGAGTGAGCGAGCGTGTGGGTGAGAGAGAGTGAGTGTGGTGGGTGAGTCGGTGGGTGAGCGAGCGAGTGAGTGGGTGAGCGAGCGAGTGTGCTACGTTGACCCGCAGTGTTGGTTGGTTGATCACAGTGCAGATGAGTCCACACACCGAGTGAGTGGGTGGGTTTGGAACTGAGTGGAGGAACCCACGAGTGAGGCTCACGGGAAACAGCGACCACGGTAGCAGCGATATCGGAGCGTTAAAAAAAAAAACACACGGGCGTCGTGAAATCAAGAGACGCGGTGTGAGATTCGTTAAAAAAACACGGGAGTCGTGAAATCAAGAGACGCGGTGTGAGATTCGTTAAAAAAACACGGGAGTCGTGAAATCAAGAGACGCGGTGTGAGATTCGTTAAAAAAACACGGGAGTCGTGAAATCAAGAGACGCGGTGTGAGATTCTCACCGAGCTGCCGCCGCCGCTGCCGCCTTGCAGGAGGCAGCAGCAGCAGCAGCAAGTCGATCGTCCCACTCGATGCCCCTCGTGTTTACCTGCGCGTCTCTCTCTCTCTGTGTCTCTCATCGCATCTCCCCCGTCTTCCCCTCCACTCGCCTCCTCCTCTACCCCTTTCCCTCTCTCACCCCCCCCGACCACCACCACCACCACCCCACCACCACCCCACCACCACCACCACCACCCCCCCACCACCACCACCACCCCACCACCACCACCCCGCAGCCGTCCCCATGTGAGTGGTGTCGCTGCGGCTCCAATGGCGACGTTCACTGCGCGCTGTCCGCGTGCCCCGCGCCCGACTGCGTGGACCCCGTGTACGAGCCACAGCGGTGCTGCCCCATGTGCCGGCACGGTACGTGCTCCACCACCACCACCACCCCCTTCCTCCTCAACTACCCCCCTCAACTACCCCCCTCCAACTACCCCCTTCAACTACCCCCTTCAACTACCCTCCCTCAACTACCCCCCCTCAACTACCTCCCCTCAACTACCCACCTCAACTACCCCCCTCAGCTACCCACCTCAACTACCTCCCCTCAACTACCTCCCTCAACTACCCCCCCTCAACTACCCCCTTCAACTACCCCCTTCAACTACCCTCCCTCAACTACCCCCCCTCAACTACCTCCAACTACCCCCCTTCAACTACCCCCCTCAACTACTCCCCTTCAACTACCCCCCCAACTACCCCCCTCAACTACCCCCCCCAACTACCCCCCCCAACTACCCCCCTCAACTACCCCCCTCAACTACCCCCCTCAAATACCCCCCTCAACTACCTCCCCCCAACTACCCCCCCTCAAATACCCCCCGCAACTACCCCTCCCCACAACTACCCCCCTCAACTACCCCCCCTCAACTACCCCCCTCAACTACCTCCAACTACCCCCCTTCAACTACCCACCTCAACTACCCCCCTTCAACTACCCCCCTTAAATACCCCCCCCTCAACTACCTCCCCCCAACTACCCCCCCTCAAATACCCCCCGCAACTACCCCCCCCTCAACTACCCCTCCCCACAACTACCCCCCTAACTACCCCACTCAACTACCTCCCTCAACTACCTCCCTCAACTACCCCCCCTCAACTACCCCCCGCAACTACCCCAACTACCCCCCCTCAAATAACCCCCGCAACTACCCCCCTCAACTACCCCTCCCCTCAACTACCCCCCCTCAACTACCCCTCCCCTCAACTACCCCCCTCAACTACCCCCCTCAACCAACCCTCTCAGCCAACCCCGCTTCACGGCATGAAGCTAATCACGAGCACAATGGCACAGACTTCGGTGATGGTGCTGACCACAATAAAGACCACCTCAACGCTGCTGATGATGCTGCTGATGTTGAATATGCCGATACTGATGCTGCTGATGATGCTGCTGCTGATGATGCTGCTGCTGATGATACTGTTGATGATGCTGCTGATGTTGAATATGCCGATACTGATGCTGCTGATGCTGCTGCTGCTGATGATGATACTGTTGATGATGCTTCTGCTGCTGCTGATGATGCTGCTAATGATGCTGTTGATGATGCTGCTGCTGATGATGCTGCTGATGATGCTGCTGCTGATGATGCTGTTGACGACGCTGCCGCCGCCGCCGCTCTTGCTGCTCCTCATCATGATGCCCCTGTGCCCCCCCCCCACCAGGTCCCAACTGCTTCGCGGGCGCGATGGTGATCCCGGGGGGCCGCGACGTGAGGGTCAGCGAGTGCCTCCTCTGCCGCTGCCCGGGCGCCGGCGAGTGGTGGCGCACCGACCACCACGCCGCATGCGTGCGGCACGGCTGCTGAGGGGCGCGCACCTCCCCCCACCCCCCACCACCTCCACCCCCCTCCTCGGGGGATCCTCGGCGGGGGTCAAGGGGGTCGGTTGTGGGGGGGGGGTGGGGAGGTGAGGGAGGGGAGGGACGGGGGAGCAATGCCCGGACACCCCCACACACACACAACAACAACAACGCAGACGCGCAGCACTTGAAAGAGTGGGGCAGGTTCCTGAGATCCCCACTCCTCCTCCTCCCCCCACCCCCGCCCCGCCTCTGTCCACCCCAGCACCCATTACGGATGTGGTGCTGGGTGCTGGCAGGTGAGGTGTGGTGGTGGTGGCGGCGGCGGCGCTGCTGCTGCTGCTGGTGGTGGTGGGGTGACGCGTCGGTAAATCCCATCCCTTCCAAGGGGAGGTGAAGTGAGAGCAGGGCTTCAATCGCAGCCGTCTCTACGACGCTACGGGGGCGGACGCGCAGCTCGATGAAGTGACGAAGCCGCGTTGTGTGGGCAAGATCCACGGTGCGTGTCCTACGGAGAGACGCGCGCCACGCCCGCCCCCGCCATAGGAACGTGCAGTTTCCACCACTGGCTCTGCAGGGCTGTATTAAGAGACGGCCACCGACGCCTCGAAGCTGCTCGGCTGGAGCAGCAGGTCACTCCCGAGCGGTGCGCTAGCACGCAGCCCGCATGCTGTTCTCACCCTTGGCCATGAGGAAGGGCCTCGCCTGAAACGTCGCCCCGGCTATATTCGTCCCCTTCTCACGTTGGCGGTGTTGTGGCCGGCGAACGCTGCCGAGTCTCCGTTGGTCCGTCAGGCCTCAGCACACACCACGACCTTCACTCGCTACCACCACCACCACACCCAGTGGACCTTCACTCACTACCACCACCACACCCAGTGGGCCTCTCTCACTACCACCACCACACCCAGTGGGCCTCTCTCACTACCACCACCACCACACCCAGTGGACCTTCACTCACTACCACCACCACACCCAGTGGGCCCCTCTCACTACCACCACCACACCCAGTGGGCCTCTCTCACTACCACCACCACACCCAGTGGGCCTCTCTCACTACCACAACCACACCCAGTGGACCTTCACTCACTACCACCACCACCACACCCAGTGGGCCTCTCTCACTACCACCACCACACCGAGTGGGCCTCTCTCACTACCACCACACCCAGTGGGCCTCTCTCACTACCACCACCACACCCAGTGGACCTTCACTCACTACCACCACCACACCCAGTGGGCCTCTCTCACTACCACCACCACCACCACCACACCCAGTGGGCCTCTCTCACTACCACCACCACACCGAGTGGGCCTTCACTCACTACCACCACCACACCCAGTGGGCCTCTCTCACTACCACCACCACACCGAGTGGGCCTCTCTCACTACCACCACACACAGTGGGCCTCTCTCACTACCACCACACCCAGTGGGCCTCTCTCACCACCACCACACCCAGTGGGTCTCTCTCACTACCACCACCACACCCAGTGGACCTTCACTCACTACCACCACCACACCCAGTGGGCCTCTCTCACTACCACCACCACACCGAGTGGGCCTCTCTCACTACCACCACACCCAGTGGGCCTCTCTCACTACCACCACACCCAGTGGGCCTCTCTCACTACCACCACCACACCCAGTGGGCCTTCACTCACCACCACCACACCCAGTGGGCCTCTCTCACTACCACCACCACACCCAGTGGGCCTCTCTCACTACCACCACCACACCCAGTGGGCCTCTCTCACTACCACCACCACACCCAGTGGGCCTTCACTCACTACCACCACCACACCCAGTGGGCCTCTCTCACTACCACTACACCCAGTGGGCCTCTCTCACTACCACCACCACACCCAGTGGGCCTCTCTCACTACCACCACACCCAGTGGGCCTCTCTCACTACCACCACCACACCCAGTGGGCCTCTCTCACTACCACCACCATACCCAGTGGGCCTCTCTCACTACCACCACCACACCCAGTGGGCCTCTCTCACTACCACCACCACACCCAGTGGGCCTTCACTCACTACCACCACCACACCCAGTGGGCCTCTCTCACTACCACTACACCCAGTGGGCCTCTCTCACTACCACCACCACAACCAGTGGGCCTCTCTCGCTACCACCACCACCACACCCAGTGGGCCTCTCTCACTACCACCACCACACCCAGTGGGCCTCTCTCACTACCACCACCACACCCAGTGGGGCCTCTCTCACTACTACCACCACACCCAGTGGGCCTCTCTCACCACCACCACACCCAGTGGGCCTCTCTCACTACCACCACCACACCCAGTGGGCCTCTCTCACTACCACCACCACACCCAGTGGGCCTCTCTCACTACCACCACCACACCCAGTGGGCCTTCACTCACTACCACCACCACACCGAGTGGGCCTCTCTCACTACCACCACCACACCCAGTGGGCATTCACTCACCACTACTACCACACCCAGTGGGCCTCTCTCACTACCACCACCACACCCAGTGGGCCTCTCTCACTACCACCACCACACCCAGTGGGCCTCTCTCACTACCACCACCACGCCCAGTGGGCCTTCACTCACTACCACCACCACCACACCCAGTGGGCCTTCACTCACTACCACCACCACACCCAGTGGGCCTCTCTCACTACCACCACCACACCCAGTGGGCCTCTCTCACTACCACCACCACCACACCCAGTGGGCCTCTCTCACTACCACCACACCCAGTGGGCCTTCATTCACTATCACCACCACCACACCCAGTGGGCCTCTCTCACTACCACCACACCCAGTGGGCCTCTCTCACTACCACCACCACACCCAGTGGGCCTCTCTCACTACCACCACCACACCCAGTGGGCCTCTCTCACTACCACCACCACACCCAGTGGGCCTCTCTCACTACCACCACCACACCCAGTGGACCTTCACTCACTACCACCACCACCACACCCAGTGGGCCTCTCTCACTACCACCACCACACCGAGTGGGCCTCTCTCACTACCACCACACCCAGTGGGCCTCTCTCACTACCACCACCACACCCAGTGGACCTTCACTCACTACCACCACCACACCCAGTGGGCCTCTCTCACTACCACCACCACCACCACACCCAGTGGGCCTCTCTCACTACCACCACCACACCGAGTGGGCCTTCACTCACTACCACCACCACACCCAGTGGGCCTCTCTCACTACCACCACCACACCGAGTGGGCCTCTCTCACTACCACCACACCCAGTGGGCCTCTCTCACTACCACCACACCCAGTGGGCCTCTCTCACCACCACCACACCCAGTGGGTCTCTCTCACTACCACCACCACACCCAGTGGACCTTCACTCACTACCACCACCACACCCAGTGGGCCTCTCTCACTACCACCACCACACCGAGTGGGCCTCTCTCACTACCACCACACCCAGTGGGCCTCTCTCACTACCACCACACCCAGTGGGCCTCTCTCACTACCACCACCACACCCAGTGGGCCTTCACTCACCACCACCACACCCAGTGGGCCTCTCTCACTACCACCACCACACCCAGTGGGCCTCTCTCACTACCACCACCACACCCAGTGGGCCTCTCTCACTACCACCACCACACCCAGTGGGCCTTCACTCACTACCACCACCACAGCCAGTGGGCCTCTCTCACTACCACTACACCCAGTGGGCCTCTCTCACTACCACCACCACACCCAGTGGGCCTCTCTCACTACCACCACACCCAGTGGGCCTCTCTCACTACCACCACCACACCCAGTGGGCCTCCCTCACTACCACCACCATACCCAGTGGGCCTCTCTCACTACCACCACCACACCCAGTGGGCCTCTCTCACTACCACCACCACACCCAGTGGGCCTTCACTCACTACCACCACCACACCCAGTGGGCCTCTCTCACTACCACTACACCCAGTGGGCCTCTCTCACTACCACCACCACAACCAGTGGGCCTCTCTCGCTACCACCACCACCACACCCAGTGGGCCTCTCTCACTACCACCACCACACCCAGTGGGCCTCTCTCACTACCACCACCACACCCAGTGGGCCTCTCTCACTACTACCACCACACCCAGTGGGCCTCTCTCACCACCACCACACCCAGTGGGCTTCTCTCACTACCACCACCACACCCAGTGGGCCTCTCTCACTACCACCACCACACCCAGTGGGCCTCTCTCACTACCACCACCACACCCAGTGGGCCTTCACTCACTACCACCACCACACCGAGTGGGCCTCTCTCACTACCACCACCACACCCAGTGGGCATTCACTCACCACTACTACCACACCCAGTGGGCCTCTCTCACTACCACCACCACACCCAGTGGGCCTCTCTCACTACCACCACCACACCCAGTGGGCCTCTCTCACTACCACCACCACGCCCAGTGGGCCTTCACTCACTACCACCACCACCACACCCAGTGGGCCTTGACTCACTACCACCACCACACCCAGTGGGCCTCTCTCACTCCACCACCACACCCAGTGGGCCTCTCTCACTACCACCACCACCACACCCAGTGGGCCTCTCTCACTACCACCACACCCAGTGGGCCTTCATTCACTATCACCACCACCACACCCAGTGGGCCTCTCTCACTACCACCACACCCAGTGGGCCTCTCTCACTACCACCACCACACCCAGTGGGCCTCTCTCACTACCACCACCACACCCAGTGGGCCTCTCTCACTACCACCACACCCAGTGGACCTCTGTCACTACCACCACACCCAGTGGGCCTTCACTCACTACCACCACCACCACACCCAGTGGGCCTCTCTCACTACCACCACACCCAGTGGGCCTCTCTCACTACCACCACCACCACACCCAGTGGGCCTCTCTCACTACCACCACACCCAGTGGGCCTCTCTCACTACCACCACCACACCCAGTGGGCCTCTCTCACTACCACCACCACACCCAGTGGGCCTCTCTCACTACCACCACACCCAGTGGGCCTCTCTCACTACCACCACCACCACCACACCCAGTGGGCCTCTCTCACTACCACCACACCCAGTGGGCCTCTCTCACTACCACCACACCCAGTGGGCCTCTCTCACTACCACCACCACACCCAGTGGGCCTCTCTCACTACCACCACACCCAGTGGGCCTCTCTCACTACCACCACCACACCCAGTGGGCCTCTCTCACTACCACCACACCCAGTGGGCCTTCTCTCGCTACCACCACCACTTTTACACATTTTTATTCCACCCAGCAGAGCTAGCACGATTTACATTTCAACACAGAAGATTGTACTTGGAGGGGGGGGGGGGGTGCGCTGGACTTAGCGAAGGTCACGATTGGTGAAGCAAGTCCGCTAAGCTGGCACCGTGGCAGCGGAAAAGCATCTCATTAACTTAGCGTGGCGGGAATCGCCCCCCCATCTCGCCCATGTCCCGTGTCCCGTTCACGTCTCCCGCACGCTCCCACCGATGACCCCCCCCCCCCCCCATCTTCCCCCACCGCCCTTGTCAGGATGCGACTCTCTGCCCCGACACCGACAGCCATCTCTCCTGACCCCCCTCCCCCCACCGCATGCCGTGGGTTGTCAGGATTATTACTTCCGGAGGGGAGTCGTTGCTATCGTAACGCATCAGGAATTAATTGGTCGATCTCACCTCTGGAGACCGACTGCGTTTCTCTTCCAGAGTGAAAGCCCCGGGCTGCCTGTACGGGTAGCCCGTGACTAAGAGGCATGTGAACAGCAATACGCGATCAGAACGCAGGCAGGAAAGGGCCTCTTCTTTCTGTTATGACTACGATGCCAATGGAAATGCCCGTCGGGTCAAACAGGCCTGGTGAACCGTTCGTTTCCAAAGCAGCATTTGCTTGAGCGTCAAAAATCCAAAACCGTTTTTTTTTTTAAACTTCTCCGAGTCTCATCAGCATGATCGTTTCTTTGTACAGGTGTGGTGGGACGTCACTACACAGGCAAAGGCGCAGACCCTGCAATTGCCTGTTCACGCCAGCGCCCGCATCTAGGGCCTCCGCTGCAAAGCGAGCCCCTAGATGCGTCCGGTCCACTCTTCCGCGCCGGTTAAACGCGTTGCTGGAGGCCCGTCCATCCAGCAGTGCACACGGTGGGGGGGGGGGGGGAACGGGGGGGGGGGGGGCGTTGCACTAGTTAGTCACACACGTGACGGCGGGTTCAAGTGTGGGTACGCCCGCCCCTCTCTTCCAGCGCGTGGGGTCAACGTGGGGCTAAATGTCACCCCGAGGTTCACTCTCCGTGGATTGGGACCCCTCTTCCGACAGCGGTGGCGCGAGCCGGTGATTGCCGGGGCTGCACCTGTGTACCGTCCACCTCACCCTCCGCGCGCGCATTGTCCACGCGTGAACTCCGCGGAGACCGGTGGCGATCAACGAAGACGACGGTGTTGTTGATTCTGTACGAGAAAACTCATTAAAACAATGGTGCTGTTTACCAACACCGCCGAGTCTTGTGATTGGGACAAATCGCGCGTGCGCCCGGGACCCAATTCTCGCGGCATCGCTCTGCCAAGAGTCCCAAGTGGCTTGCACGGTCACATGAGCACCGAGGCAGCGGCGCTTACCTCCTATTGAGAGCCCTCCGTGCACGTGCGCGTGTGTGTGTGTGTGTGTGCAGGAGCGTGCGTGCGCACCGTGTGTTTACAATTGAAAGGGCCGGAGTAATCCGCAGAGGTAAAACACAAAGGGGGCGCGCGCTGCCTCCCTTTATTTCTCGACGAGCAGCGGCGACCGAGACAGCATTGAGAGCATCGCGACGAGGTGGCCGGCTGCCGACCGAGGAGCGGCGGCCCGTTCGGGAGACCGTGTGGTCGGGGGGGGGGGGGGGGGGGGGTGGGGGGCTCCGTGGGGGGCTCCGTGGGGGGGCCGGCGAGGACGATCGGCAGCAGCGGTCAACCGGTGCGACGACGACGTCGCCAAGTGCCGCCCGTCGCCCCTCCGTCCAGCGGCGGACGCGATACGACCGAGTGGAGCGATGATCGCACCGCGGGTCGGCTCACTCGAGCAATCGCACGTTGTCGCGGGCTGTCGGGCCGAGCCACGTGAAGGGCCCCCGGCCGGTGGAAACGCGACGCCGAGACGAGCGGGAGGACCGTGGCGGACAAAGGGGAAATAAAGTAGTAAAAACAAAAAAAAAGAAAACGCGACCCTCCAGAGGCAAAACGGATCCGGGCTTTTCTTCCGCCTGGCAGAGTTACTCCAGCGGCGCCAGCTCCTGTTCCAACGCCGACTTCCGGGCCAGCTTTTCCTGCTGTTCCTTGCTGGGCTGGAGCAACTCCCCGGACCGGATCTTCTGCTCCAGTTCCTCGATCTGTCTCAATTTCTTCTTCAGATTTTTGATTCGTTTCACCAAATCCGAGGCGCCCGCCGCGTGGGGCTCCTCGGCGGAGGCGGGCGCCGCCGCTTTCCGCTCCTCGCCAGGGTCTCCGCCATCCTGCCGAAGACGGGAGGGCACGCACACGAGGTCCTTTTAAGCGCGGGCGTGGGAGCGGCAGGAAGGAAAAAAAAACAAACCCCTCCCTGGGTCTCCAGACTCCCGTTGGGGAGGAGGCCCCTGCTAGGTTTAAGGAGAAAAGCGACGACCGCGATGCGTTTCATTCGGGGAAAATTCGGACCGTGGCGCCGGCAACACGATGGCCGGCTCCTCTTCGGAAGACGTCACGGGGACCTTTAACATCCACCGCGGAGTGAAGCAGGCGGCGACGAGTGCCTTGTGCTCAATTCCACGCCGCGGTGTTAACCAGTGGCGGCCCGCGGGAAACAACCTCTCAGACTTCTACCGCCCGACCTCGCGCCGAGAGTGATGTTCGTCACGCGACAGTCAAACCGGCGGGACGTTTTCAACATCACAGCGAGGAATTCAGCCCAATGTGTGCGCGCGTGGCACAACCAAAATCAAACGTGACGACGCTCCTCTTATTGCGCAGGTCACCGGTGACCGTGCCGAGACCGTAAATCCGCTACACTTGAGAGCTCGTGTTAGGCATAACTAAGCAAATGTGAGTCCATGGGGGGAACTCTGTGCGAGTCCATGGGTGTCTCTGAGAATCATCAGCGACGGGGGGGGGGGGGGGGGGGGGGGGTGTGAGACCAAAAACACGCGACACTTGAGAACCCGGGGGGCCGACACCCCCACTCGAACCCAGGTTCTCAGCGGCGCCGGCTCAGCACCGCCCTGACCGCCGAGCCACCGGGCCACCTCGGCTCTCTCTCTCTCCCTCTGTGCTTTAACGGTGGAGCCGGCGAGCGGGAACGACCTGGAGTTAGTGGTTGCGGCGGTGGTGGTGGAGCTCACCCGCTCGGCGATGCTGCTCCTGCGCAGAGCCTCGCTCAAGGCCGCGGTGTCAGCGTCCCCACCGTCGTCGTCGTCGTCGTCGTCCTCATCGTGCCCACCGCCGCCCTCGCGAGGCTCCTGCTGCTGCTGCTGCTGCTTGCGCTTCTCCTTGCGCCGAAGGTTCTTCTTGGCTGTTTTGGAAAGCGCGGCGCCGCCGGACTGGTCGCCCTCCTGCTGCGGCTTCTGCTTCAGTTCACCGGCGGAAGCCACAGAGAGGCCCGGGGGCAGGCTCGGCTTGCTCTTGTAGAACTTCACATACTTGTTCTCGTAGCTGCGCGGTGCCAATAATAAAACAGGCAGGCAGTCGTACGGTCAGTCAGTCAGGTCACTCCTTCAGCAACGCCAAGGATGCACGCACGTGCTGGGATAACGCGGGGCAGGGATAACGCGGGGCAGGGATAACGCGGGGCAGGGATAACGCGGGGCAGGGATAACGCGGGGCAGGGATAACGCGGGGCAGGGATAACGCGGGGAGCAGCCGTCAGCAGAGCCTCGCGGCTCTCCCATCGGAGGACGAGCCGCTGAGCCTGCGGGGGACGCGACTGGAGGAGGAGGAGGAGGAGACAAAGCGGGAAGAGAGAGGCCGGGCGAGGGAGAGAGCGGGAGTACGCGGGGAGAGAGAGGTGCATGGAGATGGCCGCGTGGAGCGAAGCCGGAGCGAGAAACAATGAGGGCTCATACTTGTTGATTTCATTACACAGACTGTACTCCTGCCTCCCGTATCTGACCCTACGCGCTATGTGCAGGTGGATTGTCTTGATTATTTATTCACGATAAAAGTGTTTTTTTTCGTGTGTGTGTGTGTGTGTGCGTTGGATTGTGTACGTGTGTAAATGTATTGTTAAACCCGCCACCACCCAACACTGCCAACCAGGAAGGGCTTGTCACGTAAACAAAACGTGCCAATTAGTTACTTCAGCCCGCCGGTGTGTTGGAGAGTAAATCCACAAAATTGACCACCTTTATTACGACTAATATAATAACAATAATACATGGTCGCGAAAGCCTACGTTTCAACTGATTATTTATTGTTACTTATTTTCCTCACAATGATGCTCATGATCATTATTCTGCGTTGTTTTTGTATAGTTATGCTTCAAACTTGGACCCATATCTAACAAAGGGACCTGTTCATGAACATCTGGCAGCGCATCAGCGTTGGTCCAGCGAGCCTCACTTCTGTTGAGGCACTGAATGTCAAAACGGCCCAAAGTTTCCTTGTGCTGAACCCATGGTGCTGAAATTAACTCCCAGAAGGCGGAGCGGCTGATGGGATGCATAGGCATTTTGTTTTTTTCATTTGCAGGGACGGATATGGGAAGAAGGCGAACGATCAAATATATCATCTGACCAATAATAGAAACACAGAATCCATTCGAAACTCTTACAGTGCAACCCAATCATTAGTGACAGCTAGTGACGTTTGGGACGTTAGCAATTGCTAGCGATGGTTAACAATGGCTAGTGATGGCTCGCAATGGCTAGCGATGGTTAACAATGGCTAGCTATGGTTAGCAATGGCTAGTGATGGTTAACAATGGCTAGCGATGATTAACAATGGCTAGCGATGATTAACAATGGATAGCAATGGTTAACAATGGCTAGTGATGGTTAACAATGGATAGCGATGATTAACAATGGCTAGCGATGGTTAGCAATGGCTAGCGATGGTTAACAATGGCTAGCGATGGTTAACAATGGCTAGTGATGGCTCGCAATGGTTAACAATGGATAGCAATGGTTAACAATGGCTAGTGATGGTTAACAATGGATAGCGATGATTAACAATGGCTAGCGATGGTTAACAATGGCTAGCAATGGTTAGCGATGGCTAGCGATGGCAAGCGATGGTTAACAATGGATAGCGATGGTTAGAAATGGCTAGCGATGGCAAGCGATGGTTAACAATGGCTAGCGATGGTTACCAATGTCTAGCAATGGTCAGCAATAGTTACCGATGGTTAGCGACGTTTAGCGATAGTTACCGATGGTTAGCGATGGCTAGCGATGGCTAGCGATGGTTAACAATGTCTAGCGATGGTTAACAATGTCTAGCGATGGTTAGCAACGTTTAGCGATAGTTACCGATGGTTAGCGATGGCTAGCGATGGTTAACAATGTCTAGCGATGGTTAGCGATGTATAGCGATGGTTACCGATGGTTAGCGATGGCTAGCGATGGCTAGCGATGGTTAACAATGTCTAGCGATGGTTAGTAATGTCTAGCGATGGTCAGAAATAGTTACCGATGGTTAGCGACGTTTAGCGATAGTTACCGATGGTTAGCGATGGCTAGCGACGGTTAGCGATGTTGGAACTCACACGGGAACTTCCTCGGGGGGTACGTAGCCCTCCTTCACCCTCCGCGGTTTCCTCCACGTCCCATCGGCGCGACGCGACGCGGGGATGAACTTCCCTGCGGAGAGAGGGCACGCAAGCGCTGGCGTTTCGCAAACAGGCGGGCAAGCGGGCGAAATCGCCACCCTCACAAATCCATACCATCGTCGGCCACACGGCCTCCCTGCTGGGAGTGCATCATTTCGGCGGCGTTGGCTCAACACCAGCAGGGCTCGGGACCGGTTTCCACATTCAGTGTCTCGTCAGCAGCGTCAAGGCTCGCTTGAACCAAAGCTGACCAACTTCCAGGACAACTCTCTCTAGAGGAGTTGTACACCCCTAGCTACCACTGCTATTCAGTGGCCTAAAATATGGCTCTAAGGTTTGGTGTTACATGTTATTTATGTAGTTTATTGTTAAAAATTCGGCCACAGTCCCTATGATCACTGTTACATTGCATTTATGGCTTTTATTTTGGTGATTTCGAAAACGGTTCTTTTTGTTTTGGCCATGTTTTTGTTTATTGTAGTACGGAGTTAGACTGATGGCCTTAATCTTAGTTGTCTTGTTGTTATTTGACTTGCATCCCACTGGGATTTTAGCACACAGCGTTGGTGTACGGTGCTATTTCAGGAATATTTTGATTTTTTTTTCCTGGATTTTCTGTTTGCAGTCACATAATCATTTTTGATGTTGTCTTGTTCATGTTTTTTGTTTGTTGAGGTTGCACCCGATTCAAGAGCCGAATGGCTCACAGGGCTAAACCAAATAAATAAAACTATGAACTATGAACGTCTGGGCAACGTGGAGGAGGAGACCAAACGCCCCCCCCACTCTCCCCCTCTTCGCGCCCACCCCAACCTTAGAGCTCCCTCTGGTGGAGGCCCCTTCAGCCAGCAACGGCGTGCGCGAGCACTTGCAGGGCTGTGCCTCTACCCAGGCCTCAAGAAGGGAACGCTTCACCGTCGGTCTCGAGGGGGGGCACGGGGGGAGGGGGGGGCACGGGGGGGGGGCACGGGGGGAGGGGGGGCACGGGGGGAGGGGGGGCACGGGGGGGAGCAGGGGGGCACGGGGGGAGGAGGGGGCACGGGGAGAGGGGGGGCACGGGGAGAGGGGGTGAGAGAAGGGGGGGCACGGGGAGAGGAGGGGGGGGCACGGGGCGAGCGCACGAGGCGAGGTGGGGGGCGAGGTGGGGGGCACAGGGCGAGGTGGGGGGCGAGGTGGGGGGCACGGGGCGAGGGGTGGGGCACAGGGCGAGGTGGGGGGCGAGGTGGGGGGCGAGGTGGGGGGCACGGGGCGAGGGGGGGGGCGAAAGGTGGGCGAGGGGGGGGGGGCGAGGGGGAGGGCCCGGGGCGAGGGGGGGGGCGAGGACGCCACCTCACCTCAGGAGCTTAAGCAGGCCCACGGGTTGTACAGTAATTCTATGCTTCCCGCTAACACTGCCAAGCGCGGTGAAGGGTTGGTCAAACGAGCCCCTCGGGGCCGGCACGGCGTGTGGAGCAGTGCTTTCACTCCCTGAACTAAACCCTACACGTCGTGTGAGAGACATCACGAAGGCCCCCTTCACTGGGAGAACACCACTAAGGTCTAATTTTACCCAGAAAAGGGGGTCCAATTTGGTTACTCGGGGTCCCGTAACCCCCTTTTCACGCGGACCCCACCGGCGGCCCAGGGAGCGGCTCCCCCGGCCAAGCCGAGCAGGAAAGCGGCCAGGGCCCGAGCGCGGCCTAGCTCCCAACCGACTCCCGCACAACCGAACCCCGCACCCCCAGACTCCGGGGGTCCCCGACTCAAACGGGGAACCCTGGGGACTCCAGGATCCCCTTCGCGGGTCCCCCTCGCCCCCCGCGCCGGCTCACTCACCAGCATCGCCCTCCCCGTAATTCGCGGCCATGAGCGCCCGGCTCGACCCGGAACGGGAAAAGGAGGCAGCCCCCGGCTCGTCCAGCCAATCCCGGTGCCAGGCAGGGACCCCCTTCTCTCCTGCAGGGGTCCCTGTACACTCAGACAGAGACCCCCTTCTCTCCTGCAGGGGTCCCTGTTCACTCAGAGACCCCCTTCTCTCCTGCAGGGGTCCCTGTTCACTCAGCCAGGACCCCCTTCTCTCCTGCAGGGGTCCCTGTCCACTCAGACAGAGACCCCCTTCTCTCCTGCAGGGGTCCCTGTTCACTCAGACAGGACCCCCTTTTCTCCTGTAGGGGTCCCTGTTCACTCAGACAGGACCCCCTTCTCTCCTGCAGGGGTCCCTGTCCACTCAGACAGAGACCCCCTTCTCTCCTGCAGGGGTCCCTGTTCACTCAGAGACCCCCTTCTCTCATGTAGGGGTCCCTGTTCACTCAGACAGGACCCCCTTCTCTCCTGCAGGGACCCCTGTTCACTCAGAGACCCCCTTCTCTCCTGCAGGGGTCCCTGTCCACTCAGACAGAGACCCCCTTCTCTCCTGTAGGGGTCCCTGTTCACTCAGACAGGACCCCCTTCTCTCCTGCAGGGGTCCCTGTTCACTCAGAGACCCCCTTCTCTCCTGTAGGGGTCCCTGTTCACTCAGCCAGGACCCCCTTCTCTCCTGCAGGGGTCTCTGTTCACTCAGAGGCCCCCTTCTCTCCTGCAGGGGTCCCTGTCCACTCAGAGACCCCCTTCTCTCCTGTAGGGGTCCCTGTTCACTCAGACAGGACCCCCTTCTCTCCTGCAGGGGTCCCTGTTCACTCAGACAGGACCCCCTTCTCTCCTGCAGGGGTCCCTGTACACTCAGACAGAGACCCCCTTCTCTCCTGCAGGGGTCCCTGTACACTCAGACAGAGACCCCCTTCTCTCCTGCAGGGGTCCCTGTTCACTCAGAGACCCCCTTCTCTCCTGCAGGGGTCCCTGTACACTCAGACAGAGACCCCCTTCTCTCCTGCAGGGGTCCCTGTACACTCAGAGACCCCCTTCTCTCCTGCAGGGGTCCCTGTCAACTCAGACAGGACCCCCTTCTCTCCTGCAGGGGTCCCTGTTCACTCAGAGACCCCCTTCTCTCCTGCAGGGGTCCCTGTGCCAGGCAGGGACCCCTTTCTCTCCTGCAAGGGTCCCTGTACACTCAGCCAGGACCCCCTTCTCTCCTGTAGGGGTCCCTGTTCACTCAGCCAGGACCCCCTTCTCTCCTGCAGGGGTCCCTGTTCATTCAGACAGAGACCCCCTTCTCTCCTGCAGGGGTCCCTGTTCACTCAGAGACCCCCTTCTCTCCTGCACGGGTCCCTGTTCAATCAGACAGGACCCCCTTCTCTCCTGTAGGGGTCCCTGTTCACTCAGACAGGACCCCCTTCTCTCCTGCAGGGGTCCCTGTTCACTCAGCCAGGACCCCCTTCTCTCCTGCAGGGGTCCCCGTTCACTCAGAGACCCCCTTCTCTCCTGTAGGGGTCCCTGTTCACTCAGCCAGGACCCCCTTCTCTCCTGTAGGGGTCCCTGTTCACTCAGACAGGACCCCCTTCTCTCCTGCAGGGGTCCCTGTCCACTCAGACAGGACCCCCTTCTCTCCTGCAGGGGTCCCTGTCCACTCAGACAGGACCCCCTTCTCTCCTGCAGGGGTCCCTGTTCACTCAGACAGGACCCCCTTCTCTCCTGTAGGGGTCCCTGTTCACTCAGACAGAGACCCCCTTCTCTCCTGCAGGGGTCCCTGTTCACTCAGACAGGACCCCCTTCTCTCCTGTAGGGGTCCCTGTTCACTCAGCCAGGACCCCCTTCTCTCCTGCAGGGGTCCCTGTTCACTCAGAGACCCCCTTCTCTCCTGCAGGGGTCCCTGTGCCAGGCAGGGACCCCCTTCTCTCCTGCAAGGGTCCCTGTACACTCAGCCAGGACCCCCTTCTCTCCTGTAGGGGTCCCTGTTCACTCAGCCAGGACCCCCTTCTCTCCTGCAGGGGTCCCTATTCACTCAGCCAGGACCCCCTTCTCTCCTGCAGGGGTCCCTGTCCACTCAGACAGAGACCCCCTTCTCTCCTGCAGGGGTCCCTGTTCACTCAGAGACCCCCTTCTCTCCTGCAGGGGTCCCTGTTCATTCAGACAGAGACTCCCTTCTCTCCTGCAGGGGTCCCTGTTCACTCAGAGACCCCCTTCTCTCCTGCAGGGGTCCCTGTTCAATCAGACAGGACCCCCTTCTCTCCTGTAGGGGTCCCTGTTCACTCAGACAGGACCCCCTTCTCTCCTGTAGGGGTCCCTGTTCACTCAGCCAGGACCCCCTTCTCTCCTGCAGGGGTCCCTGTCAACTCAGACAGGACCCCCTTCTCTCCTGCAGGGGTCCCTGTTCACTCAGACAGGACCCCCTTCTCTCCTGCAGGGGTCCCTGTTCACTCAGACAGAGACCCCCTTCTCTCCTGCAGGGGTCCCTGTCCACTCAGACAGAGGCCCCCTTCTCTCCTGCAGGGGTCCCTGTCCACTCAGACAGGACCCCCTTCTCTCCTGTAGGGGTCCCTGTTCACTCAGACAGAGACCCCCTTCTCTCCTGCAGGGGTCCCTGTTCACTCAGAGACCCCCTTCTCTCCTGCAGGGGTCCCTGTTCAATCAGACAGGACCTCCTTCTCTCCTGTAGGGGTCCCTGTTCACTCAGACAGGACCCCCTTCTCTCCTGTAGGGGTCCCTGTTCACTCAGCCAGGACCCCCTTCTCTCCTGCAGGGGTCCCTGTTCACTCAGACAGGACCCCCTTCTCTCCTGTAGGGGTCCCTGTTCACTCAGACAGGACACCCCTTCTCTCCTGTAGGGGTCCCTGTCCACTCAGACAGAGACCCCCTTCTCTCCTGCGGGGGTCCCTGTCCACTCAGACAGAGACCCCCTTCTCTCCTGCAGGGGTCCCTGTCCACTCAGACAGAGACCCCCTTCTCTCCTGCAGGGGTCCCTGTCCACTCAGACAGGACCCCCTTCTCTCCTGCAGGGGTCCCTGTTCACTCAGACAGGACCCCCTTCTCTCCTGTAGGGGTCCCTGTACACTCAGACAGGACCCCCTTCTCTCCTGCAGGGGTCCCTGTTCACTCAGCCAGGACCCCCTTCTCTCCTGCAGGGGTCCCTGTTCACTCAGAGACCCCCTTCTCTCCTGCAGGGGTCCCTGTTCACTCAGACAGGACCCCCTTCTCTCCTGCAGGGGTCCCTGTTCACTCAGAGACCCCCTTCTCTCCTGCAGGGGTCCCTGTTCACTCAGACAGAGACCCCCTTCTCTCCTGCAGGGGTCCCTGTTCACTCAGACAGGACCCCCTTCTCTCCTGCAGGGGTCCCTGTCCACTCAGACAGAGACCCCCTTCTCTCCTGTAGAGGTCCCTGTTCACTCAGAGACCCCCTTCTCTCCTGCAGGGGCCCCTGTTCACTCAGACAGGACCCCCTTCTCCTGCAGGGGTCCCTGTCCACTCAGACAGGACCCCCTTCTCTCCTGCAGGGTCCCTCAGTCAAGGTCCCAGCTCCCCCGTGGGTATCATTGCTATGGAGGTGGAGACACCGTGGATGTAGCCGACATTGCTGGAAAGGGATCGATTTGTTTCTGTATTCGTCATTTTATTCATTTAATCAATTTCACACCAGAGCCTCGCGTGATGCGTGTTCGTGTTTTTGTCCTGGTCGCTTTAAACGTCATTGCTGTGTTTGCGTTGATGTTGGGACCCAGGTCAATTTTTGCGTAACGGCCCTTAAGGGCCGTCCATAAATGACGTCACGCACCTGGGGGGCGGGGGGGGTGTGCAGACATTTGTGACGATGTGTGACGAGGGGGGGAAGGGGGGTTGAGAAATGTGACGTCATATCAAAATGCGCAACTTTAAATAAATATAGACAACGCGTTCTAACTTAATTAAATAGACTTTTAAATAAATGTTTTCTCCTACAACATCCGAGTGCAGCGCCACATTAAATACGCACTACAATGACAATAGTTTAAAGCGATTTGAAGCATGACAGTCGCCTTGGGATCGTAATGGCAACGTCTCGTTGTTCCCCCGTGAGGCTTTTGCGAAGATCGGAACTTTGTCCCACGTTTATGTAAACCAGTGGTTCTTAAACGGGGGTGCACGCACCCCCTAGGGATGCGAGACATAGCCAGATTTTTTTTTTAGAAGATAAATCGTCGAAAATACAGTTTAAGCACGGGCACGTAAGTACAACTACTTTGTTTCATCAAACCTATGTATTTATTAATGTTATAAAACTTTTTTTTACGATGAGAACCAAAGGAGTTGCAAGGTTGCGGTAAAAGGGTAAACCCTTTACAGCAGCCTTGCAACTCACTGCCCATGTAGCTCCGCCCCCTGCCCAGGTAGCCCCGCCCACCGGACAGGTAGGTCCGCCTACTGCTCATGTACACCCGCCCCCCTGTCCGTGTGTCCCCGCGCCTGCCCAGGTAACTCCGCCCACTGGTTGGGTAGCCCCACCCCCTTTACGGACCATGTTCCGTAATGGGGGCGGGGCTACCCAACCTGTGGGCGGGAGCTACCTGGGCAGGGGGCGGAGCTACCTGCGCGGTGGGCGGAGCTACCTGGGCAGGGGGGCGGGGCTACATGAACAGTAGGCGGAGCCAGCGTCAGTCAGGGTCAGGCCAGGCCAACGCCTCTCACTCGCGTGCGGTCTCTCCACGCCGTGGCGTTGTTCGTCCATACTTCACCACGCTGGTCAGTGCGGGTTGATGAAGAGCGGCGGAGCAGCAGTACCAGTGCAGTGGATTTCAACGTAGCCCCGCGGCAGCCTATAACACCTGTTATGCATCCAAGCGCGAGCCAGGCTCAAGCCTGCTTAACTTCCAAGGTTTCAACCATTGACCAGGGTCCTTCACTAACTTTAAGAGGGGGAGCACTTTCACCGATAAGACATCATCAGTGTCGAGGGCTGCCACACATTTGAAACCATTTGGGGTTTGACAGCAACACGATGGTGATGATCGGGGAGGGGGGTTCACTCTTTGTGTATTGTTGGGGGGGGGGGGGGGGGTGCACACGTCAGGGGTCGCCAGTGGCCACCAGGGGTCGCCAGCGGCCACCAGGGGCCGCCAGCGGCCACCAGGGGCCGCCAGCGGC